CTAACTAGATAGTAGACAAGTATTATCTTAGGTGAAGGGAGGGACAGCATGCACTACAGGGGAAGTCAGAACAACAGGACTAAACCAAAGCTAAGAAGTTTCCTGAATACAATCAAACACGTTGGGACATCTAGGTCAATTGACATAACAAAGCTTATTAAGAAAATGTTCTGCATCCTACTTTGGTGAGTGGCATCTGGGATCTTAAAAGCTTGCAAGTGGCCATCTAACATGCATCAGTTGGTCCCAACCACCTGGAGTAAAAGAGAATGAAGAACACCAAAGATACAAGGAAAGCATTAGCCCAAGAGACAGAAAGGGCCACATAAACCAGAGACTTCATCAGCCTGAGACCAGAAGAACTAGATGGTGCCCGGCTACCACCAATGACCGCCCTGACAGGGAACACAACACAGAGTCCCAGCTTGAGCAGGAGAAAGGTGGGGTGCAGAACTCAAATTCTAGTAAGAAGACCAGACTTAATGGTCTGACTGAGACTGGAGGTACCCCAGAAAGCGTGGCCCCCAGATTCTCTATCAGCCCAGAACTAAAATGATTTTCGAGGCCAACTCTTCAGACAGGGATTGGACTGGATTGTGGGACATAAAGTGATACTCGTGAGGAGTGTGCCTCTGTCTGGAGGTGAGATGGGAAGGCAGAGCGGGTTAGGAGCTGGTTGAAAGGACATGGGGAACCAGGGTGGAAAGGAGGAGTGTGCTGTCACACTATGGGGAGAGCAATTAGGGTCACATAACAATGTATGTATACTTTTCTGTATGAGAGACTAACTTGAAATGTAAACTTCATCTAAACTATAACAATAAAAAAAAGTGAAAAAAAATAAAGAAATAAAACTGTGGCATGTGAAAATTTTATGAAATTCAAATTTCGGTGTCCATAAATAAAGCTTTACTGGCACACAGTCACACGCATTCATTTACATATTGTCTATGGTTGCCTTTGCCCTACAATAGTAGATTTTAGTAGTTGCCATAGAGACGTTATGGGATGCAAAGCTGAAAATATTTACTATCTGGCTCTCTAGAGAAATCGTCTGCTGCCCTTTGGCACACAACACTGGGTTTAATGGAATGGTATTTGGAAAAGAGAAGCAGCTAAGAGAAAGAGGTACTCTTAACATCACCAAACGGTTCATGAACATATCCTGACTTCTACTCTGTGACTAAATACCAGGGTATCTTACCATTGAATCAAATCTACTGTCAAATGCTCCAAAATCATTCCTAAGCTGGTCTTCACTGCAATTACGTGCAACGGAAACAGCAAGTCCAACAATAAGCCCTTCCTCCAAGGTAGGCTGCCTTGGGCATGTTTTATCATTGCTTCGGGCCCCAGATTCCTCAACTATACAATGAAAAAGTGGCACTGGAATATGTGCTGTCCTTCTAGCTTTAGCACCTCTCTTCATCCTGCCTCCACAGTAATCCCACTGCCCTGTGTCACCCGTGTTCCCTCCCCACCAGCCATCTCACTCTTCCCCCAGTCCTAAGGTCCATATGGAGCCCCTCGGTGGTACAAACAGTTAATGCTCTATGCTGATAACGGAAAGGTTGGAGGTTCAAGTCCATGCAGAGGCACCTTGGAAGAAAGGCATGGAGATCTACTTCTGAAAAATCAGCCATTGAAAACCCTATGGAGCACAGTTCTACTCTGACACACATGGGGTCGCCATGAGTCGGAGTTGACTTGACAGCAAGTGGTTGGTAAGGTCCCTATGAATCAGAACCGAACATTGTACCGTGACCAGTGATCATGCAGATGGTATAGGACGGGGCAATGTTATGTTCTGTTATACGTAGATTTGCCAGGAGTTGGAGCCAACTTGATGGCAGCTGACAACAACCCAACAACATGCATATGTGGCTGTCTCACTCCATTATGTCTCTCTTTCTTAGTCGAACATTTCCATTCAAATGAGTATCAAATAGGTTATGAGACAGGAAACATGAGCCTCAAGATAGTGAGCAGAAGCTGAAAGGGGTGTGGCCAAGTGGACATTAACCAATGGATGGAATGAGTACAGAGAAACAGCAGAAAGGGAAAAGAATTTGAATGAGGAAAGAGATGTGAGGCCAGCAAAGAGAAAAGCAGAGACAGGTCCTAACAAAGCACGAGTACTCTTGCAGGTGATGGAAGGGAAGAAGGTGGTCATGGGCCGTCCTCACAGTATCAGGGACTCATAAAGGAGATCGCATGGATTTTGTAAAAGGGATGAAGTAAGAAGCAGCTGGTGATTTGCTCAGCAAGTCAAAAAGTAAGAGCAAAAACAAAACTATTTGCAAAAATTGATACCTGAGCTAAATTTCAGTCTAGGATGATTAAGGGCAAACCTTTTAAGTATAGATAGATCTCTACTAGAAAAAAAAAAGGTGCCCTTAGAATAATTTATTTTTAGTACTTCAATTTTGTTGTTGTTGTGTGCCATCATGTAGATTCTGACTCAGTGACCTCAATTTTAGTAGTAACTAAATAATTGTTGTTGTTGGGTGCCGTCGAGTTAATTCCAACTCATGGCGACCCCATGTGTTATGCAGTAGAACTCCAGCGATTGATCCTTCCTGATGACATGTCCAAAGCAAGTGAATCAGAAAATGTTCTGTTTCGACCCGTAGGGTTTTCAATCATTGGCTAATTTTCAGAAGTAGATTGCCAGGCCTTTTTCCTAGTCTGTCTTAGTCTGGAAGCTCTGTTGAAACCTGTCCCCTCTGCTGGTATTTGAAATACCAGTGGTATAGCTTCCAGCATCACAGCAACACACAAGCCACCACAGTAGAACGAACTGACAGGCGGGTGGTAGATCAAATATGTATGTGCCCAAATCTCCCCGTCTGTAAAATGGAGTTACCATCTCTTACCATTAGCCTTGCTAATCTAAGGATTAAGAGGGGAAAAGCGTACATTGTGCTTCATGACGCTCAAAAGAAATGCAAACTATAGTTGTCTCAACATATCCAGCTGTGGTAACACTCAAAGGAGGTAAACTTCGCTTAACATGTAAGATTCATTCTCAAGAGCTCAGACTAAAGACAACGCTTACAATTATGTTTGCTTACCAATATACTCTAAAGTGGTTTTTGGAGTGAGCTGTGATGTATTGATTCCTTCTTGCTTTCAGGTAAAAGGAATCGATTTCTTTTCTTGTGAAATTCAACGTCTCTCATGTCAACCTTGATCATTCACTTACAAAATATGGTTTAAGACTCCGTAATCCCTAGAGGTGTAATTTTCTTTCATTAGGATGTTAAAAAAATAGTTCAAATGAGCCTCTTCTGTTCAAATTGCTTTTAAGTCTATAAAAAGAATTCGTTTCTTGACAAGAAAAGGAGAAACCAAAAAAACCCAAACCAGTTACCGTTGAGTTGATTCTAACTCGTGGCAACCCCATGTGTGTCAGAGTAGAACTATGCTCCATAGGGTTTTTAAAGCTGTGACCTTTCAGAAGCAGATTGCTTTCTTCCAAGGTGCCTTTGGGTGGATTCGAACCACCAAGCTTTTGATTAGTAGACAAGCGCTTAACCATTTGGCTAATACAACGAAGTATCATCCATGTAATACCCAACTAATACGCAACTGATCAAAAGTACTACTTATGAAATTCAGTTGGCCTCATGGCATTTTTTTTTTAATATAAACAAAGAGCTTTGCCTGCAATGATTTTATGAACAAGTCACACAAAACCCCAGTTGAGAAACAATTAATGTAATAGATACCACTGTCTTATCAGCAAAAATGCTTATATACTATTATGTAAAAAATCAGATAGAAGGATAGTCAGACAGACATTTCATTCTGCCCCAGATCAGGAGGTAAGCAAAGCTGGTCTGCACCAAATTACTTCAAATTCCCATAAGAATTCTGCTCTATTTTTAATAACACCCCTGTATATTAAATGATATAATGTGGGCATGATTGCAGGAATGCATCATTCTAATGGAGTTTTCTGCTTAAGAGTATTAGTCTACAGTTATTTACTTTGACATAACGTGTTTGAAAGACCTTTTAAAATAATGATGCTCTTCATAAATGTCCAATTTCAATAATACTACGAATTCCTCAGATAAAATTCTTGTTATAAAATGAGGGAATACTGTACTTTTAGGCCTATTAGTAATGTCCGTGAAATAAATCTCATTAAACACCATTATGATACCAAAAGTTGTTTCAGTATTTTACCGAGCTTTGTAAATTTTATTAATTTATGTATGTAATCTGAATATGAAACCTATTTCTCAACTAAAGCTAAAGTACTACCTCATATATATTATATAAACGAGTAAAATGACAAGTTTACAAAAAGTTTTTGCAGCAAGGAATACTCAAAAAGCAAACTATTTAATTTTTCTTGTTGCCTCGGTGTACCGTCAAGTCCATTTGGGCTCATAGAGATCCTATAGGACAGAGCAGAACTGCCGCATAGGGTTTTCTAGGCTGTAATCTTTACAGAAGCAGATCGCCAGGTCTTTTCTCCCGAGGAGTGGCTGGTGGGTTCGAATGGCTGACCTACTGATTAGCAGCCAAGCCCTTAACTACTGCATCACCAGGGCTCCTCAACTATTTAATTAGAGAACCAAACGATTTACCAGCAATTCCTACAAACCAGCCAAAACTGCAAATGAAGTTAATGCAAGTAGACTGCATTCAATCTTCTGGTCTAACCAAAAGGCAGTTTTCCTTCCAAAAAAGGATTTAAAAAGTACAAAAGAAACAGAAAAATAGGCAGTTTATAGAAATATTGGGTTGTTGGTTACAGGAATCTAGACATACAATAAAACGGCACAGAACTATTAACGCACACATCGCACCAATGACAACTTTATGATTTTGACATGGTTCTGTAATTCCGTCAGATGGAACCATCGGTGGGAACTGGGTTGAAGTACAGGGGACTTCTCTGCACCATCTTTACAACTTCCTGTGACTCTCTCCTATCTCAAAACAAAGACGTTTTGGAAAATATTGACACAGACATAGGAACCTACCTTAGAACACTGCTTGTGACTCTGGCACCAGACCAGGGGGCCGTTGTTCTGCAAAAAACAAAGACAGAAACATTGACTCAGGAAATCGTTTGCTAATTGAAAACACACACACACACACACACACACACACACAACGTATGTCTGTGTGCACATGAGCATGATTTTTAACTATCTCTGCTAACAGAAAGCCAATCTGGCAAGCCCTGATAGGGTTAAAAGAGAAACATTGATTTTAACGTGAATGCTATTCCGCCGTTGACTTCATGATATTAGCAAACACACAGAAAACAACAAAGATCCCAAGCTGCCTCTAAAGGGGAGACATCCATGCCGACTCTCACGGTGCGTGAAGCAATGGGATGTCAACCCGCCAGCGAAGGCACACAGAACTTCTTCCACAGTGAGCAGTTTTGGTGAATTTACAAGTCGGGCATCCTGGAGGTCCTTGACCTCAACCGACACACAGGGACAAACGGCTGAGCTTGGGAGTCAGACCTCCAGCTTAAAGCCTAGACTTGACAACTTCAGTCTCTTCTGTCCTGAAGGAGATAAGGGGCGCTTAGCAGCCCTTCCTTCACTGCTCCGCCCTCCTGCGGGAAGACACCTTTTCGTCAGGCTCAGCCCTAGCTCCTCAACTGGAGTGTAGCCCCGGGGACCAGACTTCGTGTTTCCTCTTGGACGCTGTCTTCACACGAGCAACCAACGCAGCTGCCAGATATCTGGGAGATGGCACCCACCAAAGGCCACCCGAGGGTGACTGGGGCTGGAAAAGTCGAGGTGGCACCTGCCACCTGCCCCCAATTCATGGTTGACAAAACATCACAAATGAGATAATACGCCTTTGGTTTTTATTATTAGAGATTATTATATCATTATTATACTAGTGATCAGCTGTCTGCGACAAGCACCTGCCTTGGCATGTGACTTATTCACCCCACATTACCATCTCGTAGAATGACCCATTCTGTTGTTGTTGTTAGCTGGCGTCAAGTCGGCCCCAGACTCATGGTGACCCAAGCACAACAAATCAGACCCCTGTGATCCATAAGGATCTCCCCGGCTGATTTTTTTGAAGTAGATCACCAGGGCCTTCTTCCTAGTCTGTCTTAGTATGGAAGCTCCACTGAACTTAGTCTATCCAGCATCCTAGCAACATGCAACCCTTCACTGACAGAGGGGTGGTGACTGCCCATGAGGCACATTGTTCAGGAATTGAACCCAGGTTTCCCACATGGAAGGCAAGAATTCTATACCCCTGAACACCACTGCCCCATTTACCCATTTTACAGGTAAGAAAACTAAGTCACAGAAGCCTAGTAAAATATCATAGCCAGGAAGCCAGTGATTGTGAACAGAACACTGGATGAACCGCAGTTAAACAGAGGGGTGATGTTTGCACTGGGCATTGAAGGGAAGTCCGGCTTTATCATCTCGGAAGGAAAGCACCAACAGGGCCCGGGCAGTCCTGAACGCTGTACACTGACGAGAGAGCAGAGCAGTTTGCTGGGCTGGAGCAGAGGACAGGAGATGAAAAAGTGGATAGAAAGCAGGTTACAGGGCATTTGGAGTTCTCTCTGGAATTAAAATTTATTATTTAGTAAATGTCAGAGGTTGAAAAAGAAAAGAGGAGAGATGTGAGAAGTCCTGTGCAAGGCACATCTTGTTAGCTGTCAGCCCACCCTTCGCTGTAGGGAAAATAGCCAAACCTCAAAACAATGATGAGCCCAGCAAAGACTCTCGCTCAGCCCCCTCACTTTCCAAACGCCAACCGCAATCTCCTGAAGGCACCTTCTCTCCCGCACCGAATCCCAACGCTCCCCAGCCTATCAAACCCCCACCAAAACGCTAGCTCACACACCTATCAGAAGGCGAAGGCAATCAATAGCTACAGTCTTGAACTGCTCACATTTTATCGGGAATTAGTATCAACGCACTATCTCAATCAGGGCGATTTCATTTTAAGCACAATTTTCCACTAATCATACAATGAAAAGCTCTGTGCTTGTACAGAAACATCGGGGGCAATAGCGTGCAAGCATGAAAGATTATCACGATTATAATGACTTTTTTATTAGCGAAGAGGGTTTGTCATAGGATTGTTGGGAAGATTAAAAAGATAATCCACGCAAACTATTCAGCAAAATGTTTTGCACATGGTTCGATATCAGGAAAAAAGTCCGTTGTTACTGAAGATGTTGTTTTGTTGTTGTTATTTGACATTATTACTGTTACTGGGGGTGGAGGGACCCAACCTAGACTTAAAATCTGCCAGCTCTCACAAGTAACGCTTGCCCTAGACCAGCTCCCAGCTCTTAGCATAACGCTTGCCCTAGACCAGCTGAGTTGATCTTATGCATGAAGGTGGGGAGCGGAGCTCCTGATGGTTTCTCCGCAGATGCCAGCAATCTTGCAACGTTTGCTAATATGAAGGGTGGGCAATGGTATGGAATGTTTGCTTCAATTTCTTTTGTTGTCTATTTGTATTTTCTTTACAGTGAACTCTCTGTACCTTTCCCCATTTCTATTCTAGACTGTTTACCATTTCCTTATCGATTATAATAATGATAATATGAGGGGGCAGTGGTGGTTCAGTGGCAGAATCCTTGCCTTCCCATGCAGAAGACCCAGGTTCAATTCCCGGCCAGTGCACCTCACGCGCAGCCACCACTCGTCTGTCAGTGGAGGCCTGTGTGTTAATATGATGCTGAACAGATTTCAGTGGAGCTTCCAGACTAAGACAGACTAGGAAGAAAGGCCTGGTGATCTACTTCTAAAAATCACCCAAGGAAAACCTTATGGATCCCAAAGGCCTGATCCCGTTGTGCATGGGGTCACCACAAGTTGGGGCCCAACTCAATGGCAACTAATGACAACACAACAGAAATAATAATAATATACTCATCATTAGTACCAATTAGGTTTAATAACGCTTTATCTGTAATAGGTGTCAAAAAATTACCCAGCGCACCATTTGCCATTAGAATTTATTCCTTTTTTGTTTTTTTTTTGCAGAAATTTTTTACAGGTGCGCACGCACACACACATTTTTCCCCCAAAATGTGTCTCTACTTCCTTTACGGTTTTTGGAGTTGCTGTTTTTCTTAAAACAATTTCCCCATGACAAGGCTCTGCAGCTGCTCTGTGATTTTGCCTTTCTCACCCAAAGTTTCCCATGCTTTTTGTCTCTACAAAGACCTTCTAAGAAGCCTGTCTCATGGTGCTGGGGATATCAGTAAGCCCACGATCCACACTGGCCACTTTGTTTGGGCCAGGTGTGCATGAACGTTGCACCCTCCACCTATTCTGCTTACCTGTAATGCTCTGAGCAGGAGAGCAACGGAAAAATACAGGAATCGAGTACATTTTGACATCCTGCCACAGGGCAAGTGCTT